AAACCCCAGCTGGGATCCACACCCTTCTTCCTTCCACCAGCTCTGAACCCAACCAGGTTCAAAGCAAAGCAATGCAAAACTTCTCCCCACACTAAGCAGGTCTGCCCTCACCCTGCAGAGCTCAGGGCACCAACTGCCAGCAAAGTTTCCTGAAAGTCTCCAGTCTGATCTGGAGAACAGCACAGCGTGCACAAGCTGCATGAGCCAACAGTGGGCATAGGAAAATCTCTGGAGAAAAGAGCTCATCTACAGCATGTTTCTCATTGGAAACTCCTCTAGGAGCTTATTCTTCCCTTCCTCTCACATTTGCAAAGCCACACTCATAGCTGTCTTGTGCTTAATGAGCCACTTCAAAGGGCTTTTTCCTTCTGAAGGTGGGCAATGGTTCTGCCTGCTGCCCATGAGCAGCAAGCTGGATTCAGCTTTGAGGAAATAGAAAAAATTCAGAGAAAGAGACAGGTGTGCTTCACCACCCCTAGAAAAAGGAATATGTGCCAAGAATGGCAGTAAAAGTGCCCCTGTGGGAGCCCTTCAAATCGAGCTTTCTGTTTCCAAACTAGCCAGAGATGCACAGCACCCATGTTCCCTAAGAGAGCCGAGGGCTGCCAAACCATTTCTCTGAGCAAGCAGAAGTGGCCGGTCGTGGTGGTTTCCTAAGCATGCTCTGGGTGCAGCGTTTCTCCTTACCCGGCATCTGTTCCCTCCTGGCTCTTTGCTGACGGGCAGCCTCGACGCACAGCTCCCGGGCACGGCGCCCCGCCGAGCTGCGCTCGTCCGACATGGCTTCTGTCACCCCCTCGGCCAGGGACAAGCAGGCGGCACTGTAATACTTGGACAGGGCGGCCGCCGCCCTTGTCTTTCCTGAGAGAGAGAGGAAGACTGCTTGGTGACACCTGCACGGGAGGCATTTTCAGGGACAGCCTCTGGAAACTCACAAACGGCTTTCAAGGACGGTGGGAAAGCAAGTGCCCTTCTAGGGGAGACCACGAGGGAGGCAGCTTGAGCACGGTTACGAGCACTGAACTCCAGCCCCAGGTGGGTCATCTCCACCTCGTATGCAGCTGAGGACTTTGTCTCAGGCACCACGGTCCACCAGGATGCATTTCTCCTGCTTCCCCCTCTCCTTGCAGCCCAGGGCTGTGGCTCCCGTACCTGTCCGGGGGGTCCCATAGACGATGATGGCAATCCCTCTGGGCATTTGGGCTTTGAGCTCTTCTCCAACGGGATTGGTGTCGAGGTAGCGCCTGACGGCCTGACGGATGGGCCTGTCACACTCGTCCACCATGTCCTTCAACAACCTGATGCTCTCTTGAAGTGCTGCTGTGCAGAACCAGCAGAAAAGTCAGCCTCCTGCCTACCTTGGATCCTGATCATCCTCCCTATCCCCTCCGATCCCAGGAAAGGAGACGGCCGAAAGCAACAGGAGCTTGTGCTTTTGTTGCTGGGAAGGAGCAAATAGAAAAGAGCCAGTGATATTAGACCTGGTTCTACTGGCTGAAGAGCTCATCTGATGCTACTCTTTGTGGCTAAGGGACGCAAGGGGATATCCTGACTACTTCCCCAGTCTGTGGCAGGCAGATAGGAGCTGGCTTTGGCTACACTCCAGGTTGGCAGAGGATGCCACAGCCCTTCACCCAGGAATTCCTCCACCAGGCAGGAGGTCAGATGGCTGCTAAAAGCATGGGCTTTGCATGGAGAACAAAGTGACAGAGAGCTCGGGCTGTGTGGGCTGGGCTCCCTGCTATGTCCCCAGTCAGAACAGCCAATGCCAAAGCCTTACCATTGTCCTCGCCTGATTCTTCCTTGCGCTTGAACATCTCTTGACCCAGAGCCTCCATCTTCTTCCATTTTTCATAATATTCCAGCACCTCTGGGGGCAGCTTCTCACCCACAGCGCGTGGAGGCATCACCACGGCCGTCCGGTCTCCAAACTCCTCCAGCGTCCGCAGGATCTGTGCGTGTGGGGAAGAGAAACCATCCACAAGATTCCTTTATCAACCTCCATCATACCAACAGACTCAGCCCATCTTCTCCCTCCTTCCTTCCTCCCAACAACACAGGCTATCCAAGCCCCTCCACAGACTGCCAGCAGGGATGGCTCACCTCAAAGTGCCACCAGGCTTTGCCCTGGAGATTGCCTCCATCTCCCTGGCACAAGCCTGGGAAGGCTGGAGTGCTGCACAGCTTGGGGAGCACACACATGGGGACCAGACCTTCCCTCTCACCTTCTCCTCCTCACGGTACTCCTCGTCAAACTCCAGGGAGTAAAATTCAATGGGGAACTCGCAGGGGTTCTTCACCACCACTGTCCTCTCCAGCTCAGGGCCGCACGGAAGCACCGCTCCCAGCTTGATCTCCGTGGGGCTGAACTCCAGCCGTGGCTCCAGACCCTGTCCTGAGATGTGCAGCACGAGGAGCTGGCTGTTCCCACGAACGCTGATCTTCAGCTCGGTTTTGTAGGACTTCTGAAAAGAGAAAAGTGCCAAGAACTTGTCCATGAAGTCCTAGGTGACAGGACCCCAAATACAAGCCTTGCTCAAAGGTCAGGGGTGTTATCAGTCCCTCCAGGGGGAACGGAAACCCAGATCTTTACTTATGGTAGGGCCTACAGCATCTGTGTCCTTGGCTCTGAGTAACTGGGACAAATCCTGGTGTGCAGTGTAACTGGGTATTTGGGTATGAAGTGGATGTAAAATGGATTATCAGATGTTCTCCCCTAGTCATGGAGGAGCAGACGAGAAGGGCCCTCAGTCCTGGTACTGCTGCATCAGGCAAACACCAGCTCCATGAGAGAGGCAGATGAGCTCTGGCTGGCTAGAAATAAAGGTCGTCTTCTCTGCTCAGTGTTTGGCTCTGGTCAAAGCCTGACACAAGATGGTTGGTTACATCCATCGAGCAATGAAAAGATCCCTGGGACTGTTCTTGGGCACGGAAGCACTTGTGTCCCTCCTGTTACACCCTGTCGGTTTCCAAGTCCCAGTGGCCACATGCAAAGGGCTTTTGGGAATGCTCCATCCTTGAAGTCGACTCCCCAGCTGCACGGCAATGTGCAGGCAGGCTGGGCCAGAGCCCCAGGGACTGCTGGCAGCACACCACTCCAGGTGACTGTCCTGCCGTGCCCAGGAAGGTGTCTGGTGGCTGTTTTGTCTGTTGGTGCCAGCAGCAGGATGAGCCAGCATTGGCCCTTCCAGGTTGATGCCCTGTGACTGTGCCAGCTGCTCTGCACCCAGCGTCGCAGGCTGCAAATACAACCAGGCAAGGGGGAGGACGAGGCAGTCAGGCAGATCTCCCCCATGGGCAGAGAGGCAGCCACAGCACAGTGCCCTGATGTTCCCTGGGAGGATTTCAAGGCGCCTCTCAGAAGGGTGTGCTGCAGGGGAAACTGAGGCCCAGTGAGTGCAGGGCTTCCAGAAAGCTGCTCGTGGAGGAAGAGCTCATCTGCCACTCCCTGTGTTGGGCTCTCCTTACCACCCTGCCCTGACAGAGCTCCTGGGGCGACACCTGCCAATCTCACCTCTTCCAGGGGGGAAAACTGGATCTGCAGGTCACACCACTCTCTACCATAGAGGGTTCCCTCCCGGGCCTTCCACTGAAAGACACGGGAATCATCCTTCGCAGCCTGGAGCTCCTTCTGACGCACGGCCGGTGTCAAACGTTTGTCCACCTGAGCACAGAAACCAGTCGTGTGAGGTCTCCTCGGTCTGAGAGGACAGAGCCTCGGTTCCTGGAGTGCTCCAAGATCCTGTCCCGGTGCTGAGAGCACCCACAGCAAACCCGGCGTGGCCCCCACGGTCTAGAACTGGAGGGACAACCTGCAGGCAGGGCAAGCAGATGGGGAGCCACCGTCCTGTCCTCAGAGGAGGAGGAGGAATGGGTGAGGATGGCAGGGAAGCAAAGCATCAGCCAATGGAACAGGTCCAGGCAAAGCAGCCTTGATCTGGACCCTCAAAAGCTTCCTCAAACACGCTGTAGCCCAAGTGCTCAGGCAGCCACAGGCATAGAAAAGGCAGGAGGTGCAAAGAAAACCCAACGTTCCGTGTTACATTTCCCTGTGCTTTACCTTCTTGGCAGGTTTGTTGACAGTGAGGAACCATTCACAGGGCGCGCTGAACCAGTTGTAAAGCCGGACTGTTTCACACCAGCACTGCCCAACCTGGACATCGGGGAACTGGAGTCTGTTCCTGGAGAGGCTGAGCAGCAGCTGAATCACAGTGGCACGGAGGCGGATGTGCAGTGTGGGGCCTTTCTCTACCTGGAGAAAGACAGAGAGTTCAGCTGAGAGTCCAGGTGACACGTGCTGCTGTGCCCAGCCTGCTGCCTGCCCCAAAAGCTGCGGTACCTTGATGGGCAGGAGCACATCCACCTTTCCCACGGGCAGGTTGGCACTTGCAAAGTTCACTTGAAACCGTTTGCTGGTGCCGTAGATCAGGAACTCCACGGGCTCCAGGTATATGCTGAAACCTTGAACAGATGAAAACAAAGCAGCTGAGATACACAAGCAACACAAAATGTGTCATAAGCATGTTAAGGCCATACGAGAGCCCTGCTGGGAGCCCTGGGAAAAACCCCACGCTGTGCTGTTCCCGGGACAGAAACTTAGAGGAGACACCTGAGCAGCCCTCAGACACAGCGAGCCACTCAGTGATGGAAGTGCAGATTTGCCTCCAGGCCTCTTTTGGAAGCCTACTTTGATCCACCAGAGGATCAAACAGGCTGTTTCCTCAATAAAGGTCGAACACAAGAGCTGTGACAGCGTGAACTCCAGACAAAGCACTTTCCAACCACAACAGATCCCATCTGTCTGCAACACCCCCAGAGCGCCCAAAGAAACTTGATGCTGATGGGAACCAAAGGCAGAAGATGCTGGCAGGTGAGGAGGGTAATCAGCCCATCAGGCCCCTGCAGGGAAGTGTCAGGGCAGCCCCAGGCAGGCCAGGTCCCTGGGCACGGCTGGCCAGGAGAATTCTGGCCCTGAAGCTCCCAGTAGGGGCACTGGGAGGAAGAAGCTCAAAAAACCTCCCCATGTGCAGTGGCTTAAGCCAATCTGTCTGAGACAGCTCCCTGCAGCCCACGGGAAGCCTCTCCAGCACTGGTTACCTGTGTCACACAGGGCACGTTCATTGGCCTGGACGGCCACTGGGTACCTCCAGGTGTTGGTGATCTTCACAGTGCAGCTTTTACTGTAACCCTGAACAACAGTGCCCATGTCCAGGATGTACTCGGGCAGCTCAACTCTGGAAGGAGGAGTAAGGACAGTCCTTAAACAACAGTGCGGCCACACGTTCAAGTAGATGGAAGATTCAAATAAAGTGGACATTTCTGTACTCACTGCTGTAAAAACTCAACTCAAGCCTACAAAACCCAAGGCCTGATATCAGATTCTCTCTTGGGATTAATTAGTATTTTGCCCAAGATGACTGTATCACCACACCAACGCTCTTCCATGTAAGATGTCAAAGCCACAAAAAGCAATTCTAGAAGAATACTTCACATGGCTTCATATCCCCAGAGGAACAGCTTCCTCTGCTGAAAAGGTTATTGGGACTCAACCACAGAGGTTCTCCTGACCCCCCCAACCCTCATGAGCAGTTGCAGGGCAGCCAGAAAGTTAAAACTTCCCTCAAGTCCCAGCAGTGTGCATCTAACCCACTGAGGTCCACCTAACAGAGAGATCAAGCTGCCATGTGCTAGATAAACAGATATTGCTCTTCCAAGAAAAGGCAGCTCCAAAGAGCTCAGAAAAGTAACAAGGGACAGGTAAAACTGCCTTTATTCTAATACCTACTCAGCACAAACAGCATCAGGGCAATCCAGGAAAGGTGCAGACCGTTAAGGCTGGAGTGCTCAATTTTGTATTTAGCAGGAACATGCAGGTCAGCCAAGATCTGCTCCTGACACTGCAGGGTTTAATTTTAATCTTTAATTTTGCTATTTTTTGGAGAGCAGGACAATTAAAAGTTGCAGCTTTAGACATTTCAGGATTTAACATTAGGAACACAAGTCCTGGGTCCAACAGCCTCAGTCCCCTCATTATCATCAGACTGGTCCTGCCTTCATTGTAACAGACTGTGCAATATCTGTGATTTTGACCCTCTAAACTGAAAATTCACATGAGATTTCAGATATGCTCCCTTGTTCTCAAGGTATGAGATCATTTCTAAACACAGACTCAGTTCTCACAGATCCCATCAGACAGTCACACAACCAAGTCCAGAACACACTGACACACACATTTGCACATCAGCCCTGTTTGCTGCAGGACATCCACGATCATGGACATGTCCATTCTCTGTAAATATTACCTGAATTCTGCCTTGCACATCAGCAGTGACTCACTGCAGGTAAAGGTTCAGTACAACCTGCAGAGACATTTTTAGAAAGCTTTGCCAAATTGGCCCACGATTTTTTACATGAACGGGCTGAAGGCTTCATCCAAGCCAAAGAAAACAGCTGCACTCGGGTGGGGGTTCACAACTGTATTCTTTAACTGTCACCATCAATTCTGTAATTTTAAAAAGCAAATTATCCAGAGTGTTTTTGAGATTCCTGACACAGGTGTCTTCACGAAGACACCTTGTGCTTTGAGGCCCTGAGCACGCACTGAGGTACCTGAGCATGGGGAGCTGTGAAAAGGAACCAGTCCAGGGAGGCAAACGAGCTCTCCAACTCTGAATTACACAGTGGGGAAAGCCTGGCTCAAAGGAAACGTGTTCCTCTGGCTCTAAATGCAGAATCTTAGAGTGTAAAAACAAATTATAAGCATCAGAAAGCTGATTTGTTTGTCCTGCAAGGAGGAGAGCAAGATGCCTCGTAACGCTTTGGGCTTTAGAGTCAAATTTACGCCAAAAAGAGAAGGTTTAAGTTTATTGTACAAACAACTGATTGGAAAGGAAAAGCTTATGAGTGTCCCTAGCTAAAGAATGAATACCTTGAACTAAGGAAAAGCACTTCTGAAGTGTGGTTAGACAATGTCCTCGGGAGATGGCAATTCTCAGAGCACAGCCTGGCTTTCCTACGTGTCACCACGGTCACTGCAGGTTGTTAAAGTTGTGTGTGAGTGACCACAGAAATCTTTGAAGGTGCAGGAGACACAAACATTGCTGCAGTCAGCACTTACTAACAGTTTTCAAATGCCCTGAGCTTGAAAGAAAATAAATTCAACAAGGAAAAACACTGCACCTTAAATGTTTAAGGTTTATTTTGAAAAAAATTATTTCCAGCGTAAGTTAAAAAAAAGACAAACAAAAAGCCACAACACAGTATAACATACCTGGCACAAACAGTACACAATTCTGCTCAAGGACTTTTACCCAACCAGTCATCTGAATCTTTGGAAGAACAATATCCAGTGAGAGACTTTAAAGAAAAAAAAAAAAGAAAAAACAAACCAGGTTTGTCTGAAAACAAGGCACAGACAGATCTCACCTGCAGTCCTGATGTTCGTGACTGACAAACTTGCTGAAAACACAGAAGGTGTCTTTCAAGTCATAAAAATGTGACCTACACTACAATAACAATATTCTATCCTTGCCAAGCATCAGCCTTTGTGTTCCCAAAACCAAGAAACAGGCCCCAAAAATCTCCTCTACAAACACCTGAAGTCTCCTGTTACTGCTGTTCCTGTTGGCAAATGTGAGTTCTACAATATCCCCAACTGTTAATGCTACAAACTCAGTAAGTACAAAATACAGTCAAAGTTTAATGCAGGTTCTCCCTGGTGAAATGGGACATTGAATGAAATGGATTTCTATGAAAATACTGCCCTTTTCCACAAATACAAGGTACATGGATCTACATACACAGATGATAAAAATAACAAGCCCCTTAACAGATAGCCTGGGTAAACTCAAATTTAGACAGAAGTAGCACAGAAACATGACATTATTTGAAGACAGTCTACCTGCATCTGCAAAAAAAAAAAAAAAGCTTTCTAAAAGTCCAGATACTTTACAAAATGTATCCCCTCCACATAAAAATTCAGATTGTTTTTCTTCCCAGCTGCACTGTAGCAAAAAGGCAAATTTCAAGATAAAAAAAAATAACAAGGAAATGAACATACTACCACAAGTTATAGCCACTCCTACCTGAAAAAATAACTCATGATGATTCCTCTGAAGCCACTCAGACAATAAGGTATTGTTCAGGGCATTCTACCTGAAAAAAAAAAAGATGGAAATTTTCAACATTTTGCTTTAGAAAAGCAGAACAAGTCACATGCCTGAAATGTATTGCTCTTTAGGTAATTATTAAGTCAAGAAAACTTATGAGAGCAGTAACTGTATCTTTACAACTCAACTCTAAAAAGAAAAGGACATTCTTGGCTGAAATAAAACACACTGGAGATGACAGTGACTGACACACAACACACACGACCTGTGTTTCTCATGACTAACTGCAATCTGCTCTTCTGTCTTCCATTACTTTAATTTTGAAAGACTTAGAGATCAAATGCAAACTTAACCTTTTTTATTGAGTAACTTATCACCCAATACCCCTCAGCCCTTGTGCTTTTTTTTCACATTAAAGTCTTTAGAACCAGGCTATGCAAAATTAAATAAAACCTTTAGGGACAGCAAAGTTATTTCAAAATGGTTTCTGTCATCAGCTTCTCTGAATTGTAAGTCCTACCTTGCTTGATCTTCCCAAAAAATGCATCTTTTTGCCCTTTAGAAAACAGTTTTAAAGCTTTCAGCTTCTTTAACCTTTCGTCAGATCCCAAACCAGGGTCTTTAACAAAAGGAACACTATATTTGCACTACCTCTAGCCAACTTTTCCTGCCTTTTGTGAAGGCAAAAATGTTATTTTATTTTACAGCAGTTCTATTTATTGTCACCACTACTTCATACTTAAGAAGAAGTCTGGAATCAGTGGGTAAAGACACAATTTTAAAAAACATTCCTTGCTAAACTAAAAGGTATCCAAGTATAAATTCCAATTCCTACACCTTGAATATAAAAAAGCAGAACTGTTAAACAAAACACACTACGAATTAAGAGGAATTAATTTTTTGAGACAATTACTTGCTATTTTATTTTCAGTTGTTAAAAGAAACCACTCGAAGTTATCGAAAAAAAATCCCATAGCATCTTTAAGAAAAGAGAAATCCAGCAGACACCCACCTACAGCCAGAACTTTCTTTAGGGCACAGTGTGTATGCCAGAACCTGTTCTATACTGCAGAGCTGTGGCTGGGTTAGAAAACCACCATAATCCAAATCTAAAATAAAGATACGGAACATTGTGCATAAAGGTGGAGAAGTCCAGCAGTTGCTAAAACCTGTATTTCTATTTCCAAAAAAGGGCAAACTTTTATTGTTGTAATGACAGATTCACATTTGCAGAGGAAGTATTGAATAATCCAGATTTACCTCCAACTGCAATGTTTAAAACCTGCATGGAGTTTTATAAGCTTGCTCAAGTGTACACCATAGAAATCCAACAAATATGGCTAAACACAACCTCCAACTAAAACTAAAGCTCTTAATATTTACCTCTTCCTCTACCACAGTGACTTTTTGTGATATATAAATAACCGTGATTCGTGAAACAAATGGGTGATTACATCAAAATAAAACAAACAGATTGTAAAACTTAATTACACCCTCATAAAGAAATAAAACAGACCCTCACAAAGTCAAGAGGCCTAAAACCTCCTTACTATCCTAAGAATAAAATATAGTAGAACTTTAAATCTTTAGGAGCCTGTTCGTCCAAGAATGCATGAATTATGACTGGTTGTAGAGATAACCCTTTAGCTTTAGCTGTAAGAAAACCCATCTATTAAATACTTAGCAAAAACCTGTAGAATGTCTATGCATATGATATAATTAATATGCATGAAGTAGCTAAGATAAATACTAAATGTACCCTGTAGTAGGGGGGTGCAGATTTGGGAAACTGGTCCCATTTCTGTCCCCCAGCCGGCTGCTTGCTTTTACCAGATAATAAACTATTATTCGAAACTTATAGAAAATCCAGACTTTTCATACATTCAAAATTACAATTTTGCCCTTACATTGGTAATTGCTGAATGCCAGCTAACACATAACAAACGTCAGGCATTCCATTTAAACTTGCATTTTCAGAAAGTCTTGCAAAAGGTGTTCTACAACTTCTAAAATTATTAGGCGCCGAAAAGAAGATAAAAAATGCTCCGGAAAGAGAAATGACTGTGAGGTCTCTGAAAAACGCATAAACTGAACACTAAAACCAAACCTGACACCCAAGAAACGTTTTTAAAAGCTTTCCACGTAACACACAAACTCCTCCGTTTCCTTATCCTGTAACTCATAGTTAAGTAACTACCTTTGCTTCCCGTAGTGCCCCCCCTGTGCCCGGGGCCGCACCGGGGACCCAAACCCCGCCGCTGCCCCCTCGGTGCTGCATCGGGGCCGGGCCGTGCGGCCCCCGCGGGTGCTGCAGGGCCGGGACGGCAGCGCCGCAGCCGCCGAGGGGCACCGGGGCTCCCCCGGTCCCGCCGCTCCCCCTCACCCCCCACGGGCAGGACACGGCCGGGGGTCCCCGAGAGTTCCCGCGGGTCCCCTCAGCGAGCGGCGAGGGCTGGGAGGGGGGGCCGGCAGAGGCAGCGCCCCCTTCCCCTCCCGGCTCCGAGGACATTTTGGTTTCCCTCCCAAGGACAAAGGACAAGGAGGACCGCGGCACTTACCTGGCGAACAGCAGCCCGCTGGCCGGCACCGGGGGCCCCGAGGACGGGGCGCTGCTCCGATGCTCGCCCTTCCCGCCAGTGCCCCCAGGAAGAGCCCTGAGGAATGAGGCAGGGACAGGATGTCCCTTCCCGGGGGCTGGGGCTCAGGGCTTGGTCCTCTGGATAAAGTAAACAAATCAACGTTTCTTCAGCATTAGAGCCACCTTTCCCTTGCCTGTCCATCCTTGGCATCACTGTCTGCAGTTTTCTGCTCTAACTGGATCCTGGGGACACGTTCTCAGTTGTGTCCCTCAGTGAGACTCATTAGCACTGCAAGAAACCTCAGTGTTTCATTCTCATTTTGACTTCTTGAGAAGTTGTTTGAACTTCCTCTCAGGGACTGAGTCTCATGTAAACAACATCAAACCCCCCGAGGGTCATGAAATGCCTGGGGCTGTTGCTGTGCTGCTGAGCTGGGCCGGGCTCCTGGCACACAGGGAGCTCCTGGCAAGCAAGAAGAGCTTCAAAGAGACAGCTCTGCTGGTGAGCAGCTCCTCTGCACAGCCCAGCAGGGCTGAGGGCACTGCCAGGCCAGCTCAGGGACACCAGCAGGGCACAGACAGAGCTTCAAGGGGCTCAGCACTGGCAGGAGGGCTGAGAGCTCCCTGCAGGAGGAACCTTGGCAGGGTGCACACGGTGAGTCTGTGGCTGCAGGGCAGTGCAGGGGCAGCTCCTGGAGGCATCTCCTAAAGCTGGCCCAGCCCCAGCTGATGGGATGGGTGAGCAGGGGCTGTTTTGGGGCACTTTGGAAGAGCTGTGAAGCCGGGGGTGCAGCCAGGGGTGCCCAGGGCTGTGGGGCAGAGCAGGGTCCTGCAGCCCAGGGCGCTGTGCTGGGCAGGGACTCTGCTGCCTGCCAGGGGCAGCTCTCAGCCGGCCCGGGGAGCTGCTGCCAGGGCTGGGGCACAAGGGCTGTGGGCAAGGAGCAAACCTGGCAGCTGAGGGAGGATCTTTTCTGCGTCTCGCTGTTGCAGGGTCAGACCTGCTCACAGCTCCACACCACTACACCTTATTGAATGGAGAATGTTTTGCAAAGCTCGCAAAAGACAAGGGCTACAGGAAAGGAATTAGTCCTGAGGTGTGTTTCCTGCTTAGGCATTTTAGCACAGACATTGTTCTCTCAGGTCAGGAGGCTGCACTGAAATTCCAACCATTTTACTCTCAGAGATGAGTATTTCAGGCAGCATCAGAAATGAGCACAGGACCCTGGGCAGTGCTGAGCCTTCCCTTGGGGGTGGGCACTCTCCTGTCCCAGCCCTTGGCTTCTCTGCAGGAGGGCTCCTGTCCTGCTCTGTCCAGCACAGCTGCACCTCTGGGCTGGCACAGGAGACACTTCCCAGGGCTGCCCTTTCCAGCAGCGCTGCCCTGCTCTCAGCACAGATCTTGGTGGGGTTTTAAAGATGAATCTGTGTGTGAAGTCCTCTTCAAGGCAGCAAGAGGGAAAGTGCAGGGCAGATGGGAAACAGGCTGAGAGACCCTGCAGCTCTCCTGGCTCTGCAAGAAGCAACAGAGAGCTCAGCCCTTCTGCCTGTCCTGTCTCAACACTCTTCAGATTTGTCACCAGAAAAATTTGCCCCTAAAAAAACACCCCCCAGTGTTATGACTGTAAACAAAAAACTGAGTCAAAATTATTTTAAGGACACACTGTGCCTCTCTTCTGCAGCTCAAATTGCTCCAAGACAACTGTACAGGAATTGAATTTTTCCATCAAAACTGGGTTCCATGTGACATCCCCTGTGATCATGAGAGCTGTCCCAAACCAGCTCCATGTCTGCACTGCAGCAGAGCAAAGCTGAGTCATTGGCAGCACCATGGGCAGATCTCCTGCTCCTCACAGCACTCTCAGAAAGCACAAAGCAGAGAAAAGAAATGCCTTGACTTGGAGGGGATTTCCCTGAAAACTGCACTGGCTTTGCTGAGAGGGGGCTGTCTTAACTTCTCCCTGTCATTTCATGTTTCTGAGCAGTGTCCCTGTGCTGGGAAGCAGCAAATGCCCAAGAGCAGCTCCCTCACCCAGTTCCTCCTCCTGGCATTGGCAGACAGGCGGGAGCTGCAGCTCCTGCACTTCTGGCTCTTCCTGGGCATCTCCCTGGCTGCCCTCCTGGCCAAGGGCCTCATCCTCAGCGCCGTAGCTGCGACCACCACCTGCACACCCCATGGGCTTCTTCCTGCTCCACCTCTCCCTCACAGACCTGGGCTGCATCTGCACCACTGTCCCCAAAGCCATGCACAATTCCCTCTGGGGCACCACAACTATCTCCTACACAGGATGTGTTGCTCAGGTCTTTTTACTTTTCTTTTTCATGTCAGCAGAGTTTTCCCTCCTCACCATCATGTGCTACGACCGCTATGTTCCCATCTGCAAACCCCTGCACTACGGGACCCTCCTGGGCAGCAGAGCTTGT